TTTTGCTATAGGGCGTGTGCACTCGCCAGACAGAGAGAGACAGAGAGACAGAAAGCGAGAAATCACCCCTCAGGGAGGATGGTCATGCCACAATCCTTTCTCCTCCATTCTCCTCTCGGGATCTTGGGCACGCACACACACGCGCCCAGCGTGAGTTTTAAGCCACTGGGTCCAGGACACGAACCACGGTCGACTACGTGGGAGTCCAGCGACATAGCCATGACGCTAACTGCTGGTTCCCAACACAGTAAGTTCTTAAGAAAGTAAATAAGAGGGTGGACAGATAATTCCCCTAGGAGTATAGCCTTGGGGTAAGGAAATGAAGAAAGTCTACAGATTCATAAAGGAGAAAAATAGACAGACAATAAGGGACACAGAAATGAAGGATTGTCTGTTGATGATAATGTATATGGTATCTTTGACTGGACTGTTAAGCAGTGTATTCATGCTGCAAAAATTTACTTTACGAGATGATGAACACTGATAGAATGTATAAAATGAATTTTAAAAAAGAAATCACACTCGATAGAAAGTGGATGAGTCTGGAAGATTTAGTACTAAATCAAGCAAGACAGACTATGGAAGAGAGGGGTCGTATGTCCCTACTCAACACATACCAAATGTCTGCACTCTATGGCAGAAACTGAAAGATTGGAAGGTATAAAGACAGGGAGAGCAACTGTGGATACTAGAGATAGTGTGGAAGGAGGGTGAGGGTGAGAGAGAGGGAGGGAATACAATGGAAAAAGAAAGAAACAAAACACTTAAGGAACACAAAAATGGAAAATTATCTGTTAATGTTAAAAAAAAGGTAAAAAAAAAATTAAAATAAATTGGAGAGTGGACAGTGGGACAGCAGTAACACTTGATGCAATGAGAAGCAGCCCCACATGGTAGATTACTGGCTCACATCCAGATACCTCCCTGAGTGTGATGGGCACACATACCCAAAGTCTGGAGCTGGCTGGGACCAGGACTATTCCCTCTCCTCATACTGCCAGCATCCTATAGGGGGCGCCATTTCCTTTTCTCTCTCTCTTGCTCTCTCTGTCTCTCTCTCTCACTCAAGGAAAATAAATAAATACATAAATAAGCTTTATTGATTGATGAAACCATATTGCATCCTAGAAAGATGTAAAATCATTAAATGTAAATAAGAAATTATACCATAAATAAATATAATCAACCAATCAATAAAGTTTATGATATTGAGAACTCACCCCACAGGGGGTTGGCCACACTACAATGCCTTCTCCTCCATTCTACTCTCAGGACCTTGGGTACACACACACATTTGACCGGCATGGGTTTTAAGGTGCCAAAACCAGGACTCAAACCACGGTAGGTCATATGGGAGTCCAAGGATGTAACCATTAAATCATCTGCTGGTCCCAACAAGTTCAAAATTTCTACGTGTCTTATTAAAAGCATCTGAAGCTAAGGATTGTGGTAGCTGTCCAATATTTCATAGCATAGCACAGTTCCCTCCCTTGATGAGGAAAGAACAGCAACTTTCTAGAGATATCAAGTACTGCATTCTCACTACAATTCTATGCTTTGCAATTCCAAGAGACCTAGTCAGAATCTCAGACTTGGAAACAGTTTAATCTGGAATTGCGCTAAAGTGCGAAGGAGGAGAAAAGTGAGTTCAAGGAGAAAGAATAATGACAGTGTTCACTTGACTTCTAACTTGATCTCTTGGGAAAAGAGAGTGATCAGGGAAGTATTTCTTTCTGCCCAGCCCAGTATCACACAGGGATATCAGGTGTCCAAGAGCTGGAGTCACAGAGAAAAAGGTGCCAAATGAACTAGGATTGGGAGCTGTACATATCTCCTCTGCTATTGTCCTTGAGCAGGGTAGGATAGGGCTGACTTTTCTTTTGTAGCCCTAAATCTAGCCATAAAAAAAATGTTTATTCCTTTCTGTTTCCTTATCTGGGGACAGAGCTTTAGTCTTTATGATCATCTATCCAGGGAGGAATTCAGACTCCCACTAATGGACGCTGTCTTTCAGCAAGCCCAACCAGGTGAGTCTGAGAGCCCAGCAGTTATTGCAGGAAAGTTTCACAGAGAATGGAATTTCAGAATGTTCACCTGAGGTCACTGTGAGCCCTAACCACCATAGCCCAAGCCACAAGATCGCTGTCCTTTCTTGCTTGCTTGACTAATTAATTTGTAGTTAATTTATTTAATATGTTTAAAAGTAAGTCTGTTAGACCCAATAATGCAAGGGAGAATGAAATGATGGGCATGGAAATCCAGTTAAAGAAGACCAAAGAAGGAACAGGAGGGGTAAAGGGTTTTAATAAACTTAGGATATTTCCATAGAAATTTGCCATAAATGAGTAGGAAAATCAAGTATTTCCTTTGGACAGATGTGCACTGAAGCATGGGCTACTTTATTTACTTTTTAAGATGGGATGTACTTGGGCACGTTTCTATATTCATCACAGAGATCAAAGCAATCGATGGTTTACAAATACTACCTTACAACAACAGTTCATGTGACTTATATTTTGCAGCATCTTCTCTCAAGTTGGGTAGTCACAAGAAAAAAAAATCAGTTTTCTTTGCTAGGACACTGGGGAAAATTAAAGAGCTTTAAACATCAATTATTTCATTACTGTGGAGACTGAAAACATTTTGGAGTTTGTTAGCCTTTTTCTTTACTGGGAATTGTCTTTGCAAATTCTTTGCCATTACATATTGGGGATCTTTTGGTTTTATTCTTTCTAAGATTTTTCTGCAGTAAGTTTGCTATTTTTTATTTAATTATGATATATAGATGATAGATAAATATCATGAGGGATACTATGTGATAAAATTTGAATTTTTTATGCTTGCATCTATCAGTCAGTCATATTGCATACCAATATCTATCATTTCTTTTTCTTTAGGTTTGCTCTAGGGTCCATGAGATTTTTCAGAGGAAGAGAGAGAGAGAAAGTGAGAAATAACCCCCCAGGATAGATGACCATGCTGCAATCCCCTCTCCTCCATTGTCTTCTTGGGATTTGGGGCACAACACACATGTACCTGGTGTGATTTACAGGGCACCGGGTCTGGGACTTGAACCATGTGGTGGGTCATGTGCGACCCAGTGCCTTAACCTCCACACTACCTGCTGGGCACCCTTATTACCTTTTAAACTTAAGAACATATTCTGAATCATTAGTAGTAATACATTTTTTGTAACATTCATCATCTCATTTCATATTTGTTTTTCTCATTACTACCGTGTGTTTTTTGATAAATCTAATTTTAACTTTATGATCTTTTTCTACTATCTTGTGTAACACATTCTTTTGTGTTCATCTAAAATCAAGTATATGTTTTCATAAACATATTTGAATCCATTTGTTCATACAGTACAAGATTTTAACAGTAGATACTGTTGATAATTTTTCTGCCACCTCTTCTTTAAAAATATATCTTTTATTATTTTTTACATGCAGCTCTTTTCCACTTAACCTGAAAGTAAAGACCTACATGGGTGTGATTCAATTAATATTTAAAATTATTTTTAAAACAATTTATTTTATATTCTCATTTTGTTTTATTGAATACAGTTGTCTTGTGTCTGTTCTATTTACTTGGTTAGAATGTCCCCATTATTCTCTCCTTTTATTTATTTATTTATTTCATTTTCTTTTGTACATTCAATCACTAAATGTCACTATAAATGCACAGCACAAAAGGGTCATACCACAATGTGGCCTCGAGTTCACATGCCCATGGGAAGCTTGCCCACTGGAATCTGGGTGCTATGTTTATATTCTTAGAAAGCTACATTCATAGTGGGCTAGTACAGCATGTCACTGAAGAAACCTTGGTGTCTTCAAGTTTCAGCATCAGCAGGCCCCTCATTCCTCACCATCTCCTGACACCATCCTTTCATTCTCCCTCTTCCTCATTTCCTCTGCAAGCAGTCAATTTCCTAGATGTCTTTGCAGCTCTCGCCCTCTCATACCTGAGGTCTCTGTTCAAACGTCATCTTATCTGTCAGTTGATAGTACCCTGTCCACTCTCTCATCTACATAATTTCATTGTCTTCGACACACTTATTGATATGTGATATGTCACATGATTGTTTATTTATCAATTCATGCTATACACCAATAAGTGCTAAGCGTTTTAATTTCACAGACCCTTATATTCATTACCAAGGCAGTACATGGAATTTAGTGGGCTTTCAGTTTCTATTATTCATATGCATGTGAGAATTTGTAGAAAGGTTGAGAATGGAATAGAAATTCTCAATTAGACAGCCTGTGAGGGTGGGGTGTGCTAAAGGGAAGAGGAAGCTTACACAAAATAAAGAGAATGGGTCATCCTTGCAGCCTAGCGATTCAAGAAGCTGGATCTCATGTGGTTGACTATGGTTCAAATCCTGATCATGTCTGCTTGAAAAACACTCTGTCTATGTGTGGATGCATGTTGAAAATCATGGCAGAATGGAAAGGTGGAGGAGAAGAGATTGTTGCATAATCAAGACCCACTGGGATCGGGGGGGTGGTGATTACTGCCTCTCCCCTGGTTTCACTGTCTCTCTAGCAAGTATGTGCACTCTGGCAATGGAAACATAAAAAGATTAATTTCTTTACTATAAATACGAATTGTAACATTTCAACTATGTGAGTAAATTTTTTTAAGAGAGATTTTTGCTATAGGGCACAAGCGCTTGCTGGAGAGACAAAGAGAGCAAGCAAGATAGAAAGTGAGAAATCACCTTTGGGGGGACTTGCTGTGCAGTGATCACTTCTCCTCCATTCCCCTCTCAGGATTTTGGGAACACATGCACGAGCACCCAATGTAAGTTCGAAGTTGCCGGGTCCAGAGCTCAAACTGTGGTCAGCTATGTGGGAGATCACTGATGTAATCATTACGCCATCTGCTGCTCCCAAGTAATTTTCGTGAACTCTGTGAGCTAACTCTGTATGCAATTTTGAGTGAAAAATTAGTCATGTTAATTTCTTTTTACTAATAGTCACTCCCATCACATGGAACCAGAGAATAATACAAGAATTTCAGATTTTCTTCTTCTGGGGCTTTCAGAGGAACCCAAATTACAGCCCCTCATATTTGGAGTTTTCCTGTCCATGTATCTGATAACCATGATTGGAAACCTGCTCATCATCCTGGCCACCATCTCAGACTCCCACCTGCACACACCCATGTACTTCTTCCTCTCCAACCTGTCCTTTGTGGACATCTGTTTCACTTCTACCACCATCCCAAAGATGCTGGTGAACATCCAGACACAGAGCAAGGTCATCACCCATGCAGGCTGCATCACCCAGATGTTCTTTCACATAATTTTTGCAGGGATAGATGACTTTCTCCTGACAGTGATGGCCTATGACCGGTATGTGGCCATCTGTCACCCATTGCATTACTCAGTCATCATGGACACCCAGCTCTGTGTGTTGCTGATTCTATTGTCCTGGATCATGAGTGTTCTGAATTCACTGTCACATAGTTTAATGGTGTTGCAGCTGTCCTTCTGCACACCAGTGGAGATCCCTCACTTTTTCTGTGAAATTAATCAAGTGGTCCACCTTGCCTGCTCTGACACTTTTATCAATGACATGATAATGTATTTTGCAGTTGTGGCACTGGTTGGTGGTCCTCTCACTGGGATCCTTTACTCTTACACTAAAATAGTTTCCTCCATTCGTGCAATCACATCAGCTCAGGGGAAGTATAAAGCCTTTTCCACCTGTGCCTCTCACCTCTCTGTTGTCTCCTTATTTTATTGTACAAGTCTAGGCGTGTATCTTAGTTCTGCCGTTATCCAAGATTCTCACTCAAGTGCAACAGCCTCGGTGATGTACACTGTGGTCACCCCCATGCTGAACCCCTTTATCTACAGTCTGAGGAATGAAGACATAAAGAGGGCTCTGAGAAGTTTCCTTTGGAGAAAACTATCAAAGGATCAACTGTCCTGCTATTGAAGAAGTGAGCTTGTTCACAGAGGTCTAAGCATGAAGCAGAAATGGTGAAAATCTGACCAGATTCTGGAAATAGAACTTGTTCCGTTCAATTATCTCCTAGATCTTCCATGACTTAAATTTCAGCTTCTCTATACAACATAAGTACCCCACTTTTCCACTCTGTCTGACAATCTAATTTTTTAAAATGCTTTTTGTCATAGGGTGCATGCACTCTCCATAAAGAAACAGAGAGAGACAGTGTGAGGGAATGTGAAAAATCATCCCCTAGGGCAACGGCCTTGCCATAATCCCTTCTCTTCCTGTGATTTTGGGCACTCTGAAACATGTGTTCAGCATGATTTTCAAGACACGGGTCTGGGACTTGAACTGTGATCAGCCATTTGGGATTTAGCATGATAACTACTGCCTCATCAGCTGGTCTCTGCATCTGATGCATAAAGAATTTTTAATTCATCCTTTTGTATTTTTTATAAGTTTATCTCAACCATATATCAGAAATACATGGAAATCCCCATTAATTTCATGGAACAACATGGATTTATTTAAAATAGTTTTTTAAATTGATCTATACTAAAAAAAGTTTTCTTCTCTTCTATTAAAAAAATCATATGCTGTACTTTTCTTATGGGAATAAAATCACTATACTTGGTGGCTAAGTTCATTTATTTTTTTATTTTTTTATTTAATTAATTAATTAATTTATTTATTCATTTAATTTTCTTCCATACATTCAATCACATTATTATTTGTCTTACAAAGTGGATATTTTAACAGGTGAACATTACTCCCTAGTACAGTTGATAAAACTACAAAATATCTTCAACAGATAATACCACACCTCTTTGTGCCATTAATGCTTTGCCTCCCTGTCCCTCCCCCAAATGTCCTTCCTCAGACCCTCCTCTTTCACACACACTATATCTGGTATTTACATCTATATACTGTGTTTCTATATCCTTTAGTCAATTAGTTTCAGTCATAGAGTGCGGACACTCGGTATATATTAAGTGGGGACATACAATGCCTCTCCTTCATAGGTGGCTAAGTTCATTTAAATAACTCAATATTAGAAGACATCTGAGACCACAATTGTACAATTTTCTTTTTATCATTCAACGATATATGACCACCTCACTTGTTCTTCATGGAAGTGTGGAGTTTATCACAACAAACTTAGTTTATAACATGTGATTGAGTTTAATTCTCATTTTTAAGTTTCTGTTTCTTACCTACCCTGGTGTCCACAGTGCCTTCCTTAGTCACTGTAAAGAGCCATTACTATCCACATGATTCCAAGTGGAATGTACTTGTAAAGACACCTACGATAAATGGTTTGTCTTTTCATGGCCTTAAAGTCAGAGATGAATTTAAATATGATGCACTAAATTTTAAGCTATGAATAATTTTACTACACAAAATACTTTGTTTGAATTCTCTACCACTATGTATGTATAGAAGATTGATGTATAAAGGAGATTATTCATTTTGGAGGAGGCTGGCTTAATTTGATGTATTTTGTTTGTTTGTTTGTTTTTGGAGAGGTTTTTGCTATAGGACATGTGCACTCGCCAGACAGACAGAGAGAGACAGAGAGACAAAAAGCGAAAAATCACCCCCCCAGGGGGGTGGCCACGCCGCAATCCCTTCTCCTCCATTCTCCTCTCGGGATCTTGGGCATGCACGCACATGTGCTCGGCATGAGCTTCAAACCACTGGGTCCGGGATGTGAACCACAGTTGACTACATGGGAGTCCAGCGACACAGCCATTACGCTAACTGCTGGTCCCTGATGTATGTTTTATTACTGAAACATCTTCCTATTTCTTATTGAAAATGTCCCGTGGTTCCTAAATATATCAATGTTTCATTTCTCTAAATGAAATATATAATCCTTTGTGATGTTATATTTAAAGGGAAGTGAATAACTATTGTCAGTGTCATCTGTATTATATCTCCTTTACTCACAGATATCTTTTTAATCTTCACTATCAAAGCATCTCTCATAAGTAACCTTGAATTACTGTAAAGTCATGGGACTGGATCACAAGCATTTCTGCACAAATATGCATATCTTGTTAACCTCATCTGTTTTCCTGGAAGGAATGTTGTATTAGTTACTTTCTAATACAGTCTTCTGAAACAACTGAATAACCAAGTAATTGTGAATACAGTCTTTCAAATATCAGAAAAAAAGACCAAAAATAAAAAGCAGAAAATTATTATAATTGCTGTTTATTCGGTTGTTTGGTTATTGTATCAGTTAGTTACTGCTGCATAACAAGACATTCTAAAAGAAAATAGTTTAATATAATACTTTTGTTAACTAGAGTGACGACATGAGGGGCAATATTTCTGAGATTTATGGCCTTCTCGTGTATCTGTAGTCATCTTCAAGTCAAATGAAGAGGTGTTATTGATGTCAGGAGAGGTTTCTTATCTATTGAAAACTTGGCTGGCTGTTGACTTATCTACGGGGACCTTGCTTAAGACAACTAGCCCCTTTCACAATTCCTCTTCTCCTGCAGCTGGATAGCCTGAATTTATTCATATCCCTGAGGCAGGGTTCCACAGAATCACAAAAATGCACTGAGGACCATCATGAGCCACTGTTAATATCAACACATTCTAATGGTCTGAGCAAGTTACAACTTCTACATGGGCTCAAACCCTAAAGGATGTCCTCTTTCACCTTCATCTTCAGTGGTTGAATACTCTTAGAGAAAACAACGAGAATGAAAGTATATGATTAATCAGCCCCTGTGACAATTCTGTTCCAGGGGTTTGAGCCCACCCCAGACATAAATATTCGTTGTTTCAATGCCCTTCACTTCAACTCCCTATCCCTATCTAAGAAAGAAATAAACCCTTTTCCTTCAGATAATAAATACAGTCCTAGGTCCTCATGCCTAAATCTTTGATTAACAGATTAGTTACAAGTTGCCTCACTAATATTATTGTCCTCACCCCTGCCATGTGCCCCTGATCTTGTGATTAACCTGCTCATCTCATAATCCCCCAAAATCCCCACCCACACTGGTATTTATTGAGAGCCTTTATTAGAAGAGATGACATTTGAAATACAAATAAACAGCAGAGATATAAGAATTTGAAATATGGTGATGAATTAGGTGTAAGTCCACTGTGGAAACTCTGAACATTAAGTTTGAGAAGACTTTTGTTCACTAGAGACTTCAAGTCTCCTACCAAGTACTCCAAAGAGGGACAGTATTTAGAGATATACAAGAGACTATGCCAGTATCCTTTCAGTTGCAGAAAAATTCATCACCAGTCAGTCTTCACTGATGCTGGAAAAAAGAAATACTGTTTTCTTCTTTTTTTTTTCTTTCTGATTAACCTATAAGTATTGTTGTTATTATTATTAATTATTATTATTAATATTTTAAGGTTTTTGACATAGGACATGTGTGCTCACCAGAGTGACAGAAAGAGACAGAGCGAAGGAAAGTGAGAAATCACTCTTTAGGAGGGATGGCCATGCTGCAAACCCTTTTCCTCCATTCTTCTCTTGGGATTTTGGGCTTACACACTTGACTGTTGTAATAGTCAAGCCACCAGGTCCAAGATTTAAACCACAGTCAGTCATGTGGCAATCCAAAGCCCTGAACTCTATGTCACCTGCTGGTCCCAAATTATTTTTGTTTTTGGATTTCTCAGCATGTAAATATTTCTCCTCTGGGGTCTTCTAATTTGTCAAGGCATTTTTTTTTCTGTACAATCCTATCAAAGAACACAACAGAATTGACTGTAATCATTCAACTTATTACAAAGTATAAATGAAATATAACCAACTTTGACACCCATGTAGATCTCTTATTGTTATTTTTAAAAATTATTTTTCTATAGGGTGCATGCCCTCACCAGGAGAGACAGAGAGGGGGAGTGAGAAATCAGCCTCTTGGGGTGATGGCCATGCCACAGTCCCTTCTCTACCATTCTCCTCTCAGGATTTTGGGCACTAATGCACATGATTTTCAAGCCACCATGTCCAGGACATGAACCATTCAGTTGACCCTGTAGGATCTGGCTACCTTAACTACTATGCCACCTGCTGGTCCACCCCTCTGTTGATATTTGTGTTAGATAATTCTCAGTAGTAGATGTTGTTCTGTGTATTCTAAGATGTTGAGCATCACCTTGCCTTCAGCCCATTAAGTGCCAGGAACACCTCCTCAGTTGTAACTACCAAAATCTTCTCCAAAAGTTACTGAGTGTCCCAAGGGGCACAGTTATCCATGTTGATATCCACTGGACAGGAGCATGAGACCTGGAAACATCACAACAAAGTCTGAATCAAAACTAACCCGTACTGGGTTCATACCTTGGGCAGATCAGTTAAGACTTCTGAGTTTCATTTTGGCAAATGTAGAAAAAGCTCCTAATAGTATGATCTCATGGCATGTTAACATGTAAAAATTACATGATACAATCCATGTACTACTCAAATCTCAGCCCATGGTATATAAAGAGATCTAAATACAGAGAGAGACAGAGAGACAGAAAATGAGAAATCACCACTCTGAAGGGAATAGCCAAGGGCTAATCCCTTCTCCATTCTCCTCTCAGAATTTTGTGTATGCAAACCCATGTGCACAGCGAGTTTTAAGCCCTGGGTCTGGAGCTCAAAACATGGTCCACTACGTGGGAGTCCAGCAACATAACCATTACACCATATGCTGGTCCCCTGACAGCTCTTTAAAAAAAAATAAAGTTTTTTTTTTTTATTTTTATAAAGCAAAAGTTACAGAACCTTTTTTTTTTTTTAACAGAGAACTTTACATTGTTTTGTCTGTTAAATATTTCTTCCCCTTTCCCTTCCCAGTCACTATCTACCACTCACTTCCCTCCCGTACAGTCTCTGATAACTACACTTATCTTCTCTATTATCATATCTTTGGAACTATTGTTTGCTGCAAAGTGACAATTATAGAGGACTTAATGGCAAATGGAAATGCCTGAAGATGTGACAAAGCTTAACTTGT